CTTCCGAGGTATGGCTCGAGTCACCAAATTCAGGCTTGATTGTCACGAACCGCGCCGCGAATCGCTGAAAAATCAGTAACATTGATTTTCCAACTCGTTTTTGTCACGACGATTTTGCGCGACAGCGTGGATACAACAATGAATCTTGCTCCAGCCAAACGAAACGGCTACACACTGGCAGGCGTTTCGACGTTCCACCAACGATTTCATTTCTTGGTACCTGAATTCCCAATTCAAATCGAGGTCAGAATCACATCTGAATACTCCCAACATGTGTCATACAAATCAACACTTTACCTATATAAGCTCCATCTGAGCCGGGACCTTCAGGGGGACACGAGGGGATCTGTATTACGGCGACCGTATAAATCATCAATAGGGGTACGGCGGACATACGAAGCGGAGGAGGCAGCTGTAATTATTTCTTCTACGTAGATAGGCTTCAAGTTGCAAGATCAACTACACCATATTAACTTTCGAAACGGCGATTTGCCAAGTTTGGGGCGCTTGAGGCGACCCGAATCGTGCGCAGTGGTCCTCAGCAGAATGCGGGCACATTGTCCGGACAAAACAGGGCAGTTCAGAACATCGCAGGTAATATAAAAGCAGGGGACCCGGGACATGTATAAACTCGCAGAAGGCCTACTGCAGTATTATGTAGGGCTGTCAACCATACCGTATTCGACTACGGCCGTACTCCTTACGGTAAGTATACGGCGTCGGGACGTACCGTATGTTAGCCGTATCCATGAGTTTGCCGGTACGGTACGGTAATCACTACGGCCGGTATACGGGTCAAGACGGCTGTACGGGTTAGCAGAGGAGTATCGGGTGCAAATGGGTCTTCTTACTAAAGAAGCGAGACGAGACCCAGGGATTCACTCAGAAACCTGGAACAAACTTCAGTAATATGAGTACTTTCGCACCCGTTATGTGATTCGAGAATACATACATTACTTGCACTTCCCGCAGCTGAAGGTCTGCCAAATGGATGTCAAAAGGAGCATGTTTAAAGGGATGACTTATGGAAGAATTATTTATGAAGCTCCCGATAGGCTTCGAAGATGGTACTGGACGGTTTGTAAACTTGTCAAGATGGACCCAAACAGGCAGGAAATGCCGCATGGAATCATGATCTCAACAGCACAATGCCGGATTTCGGATATACATGCCTGCGAAGTGTTTATTGCGCTTAAATTTTGCGAGATGAAGAAAAAAAATCGACTATTGTCGTATAGGTAGATGACATGGTTGGTATTGCAAACACCAAAGAAACTAATGATAAATTTGTGGAGAAGTTAGCAGCCAAATATAAAACAAAGGTGATTGGCGAACCGTACATGCTACTCGAGATGCACACCACTTCGCGAATTCACAAACCCACTATATCCACCAGGTATTGATGAGTTCGATATGGAGGATGCGAATATCGATGCCTATGGGTCCGAATGTGATTCAACGCAAGTCAAATGACAGATTAGCGATCAACCAACAAAACGGGATATCTTATGTGACTTGCATCGGTAAAATGATGGGTGCAACACATGCCATGCAACCGGATATCCTATCGCGACAGTAACGATGGCGCAATTTGCAAAAGAACCTGCCGCAAGAGAATTGGACTGGAGTAAAGAGAATATTGAGATATTTGAGAAGAACTATTGATTTTGCACTCGCCTGTGGAGGACAGGGGGGAATTGAAAACCAGAGCTCACTTTTTCGTGGAGTTCAAAGAAACAATCGATTACAGTGCAGCCTATCAATGGCGGAAACCAAGCGAACGGAGACACTGAATCACAGCCACTCAGGACCCCGGTGGATACTGCCAGAGAGCGGACATTTATGGGATATGTTATAGCAGCCATTGCAGATCGTATTGTGGAGACGTAACGGATGGCAATGTGAAACGTAAGTGGTTCGACCGTCCTACAGTTTGCGAAGCACAAAATAGGCGTCTCCGCCGGACCTTCCCCTTGGTGTTCTACGGCTTACTGAATATTTCTAGGAAGGAAAGTGGGTATTTATTTCAATACCTCCAATTTAAATGTTTAGCGGACGGTGGCTGTACAAAGTCTCAAATTTTGGCGCGATGATAAAATTTCAAACAAGGTTCTTCATGTTTGTGCCGTATTGACAACTTGGATAAGGTCTAAATGAACCTTTTTTACCACCTGCCCTGTTGTTGGCAACTTTATCCGGCATGGTATAACCGCTTCAGTATTTATAGTGGCTGTGCAGTCTCAAATCTTGACTGAGCATTTTTCAAATATTGTCGGAATAAATATTTTAAAATAGGACAACTAGCTACATCCTAATGCAATCATTTTGCACCATGTCTCATGTGAGAAAACATTCAGATTGCTATACATGCTTGAAAAAGTGACAGCTAATGCAGTGATTGCGTTTGCCAGATTGTTTTGAATTCCATGTTTGGAATTGTCGGGGTTGTTGTCTCTGTGATCGGAGTTGTCAGGGTTGCCGATGTCAGAAATTACGGTGGCTGTGCTACAACACACTTGGCAGATTGTTGTCTGCTTGTCACACTTATGTATTTGTGTTCTTAGTATACCTTAACTGAAGCCTAAGTGTGATTAAGTACATTTAAGTTCAAATTCAGTAGGTCACCTTCTGAAAACCACTTTTTTTAAGACTAACTTTACTTAGCCCCACTTAGTCAGACATTCTAAGTATGATAAGTCATGCTAAGTTGGCCAGGAATTTTCCTGATGTGCATACAATCCTACCACTCTCAAGGTGCCCCTGATCCCTGACCCCAAACGTGACCAGATTTAATATTCGGTTAAAGAATGGTGGCATGCAGGGCTTGTTGATTGCTTTGCCCAGTGGTTCTTTGGTTTCTCAGTTGAGATGTCAATTTTAAATCAAGTCTGTGAGTGACATGTGATTATATATTTAAACAGTCCAAGACTGAATCTTGTACTTTAGTTGGCAGGAACAGGTGCAACAGTTGGCCACAATAAAGAATGGTACTTTTGACTTATCTATGTGTAGCTCTTTAATACATGTTCCATTATTAAACTTGATGGTGAATTTAGTGGACCGTGGTGGCAGTGTGAAAGTCTGTGTGGGTGGTAACACACAAGATACAGCCATACTCATCAATGAAATACCCAATGGTGCAGATCTAAGGGAGGACAAAGGGAATATTTCAAGTCCTGCAAGCCCTCATATAGCTGCTCAAATGTATTGCTCGCTAACACATTTTGCTACCAGACCTATACTCCAACTTTGAATTACAATGTTGATCTCATATACATGATGGCCAATATCTCTAACTTTGTCAATGTAAAGTGGTATTTTGGTCAGTGCCCGGTGCCCCATGTTCTTGGCCATTTCTGATCATGACTTCCAGGTATCCCATTCCACCATAGGCAAAACTTCAACTTGAAAGTTGCTGAGGTAGTGCAAAGGATCCTGGGTGATAACCTCATTAGTTTGCAGGTCAGAAATGAACCCAATTTATATGTCCATTGTGGCCATCGTCCTGCAGTATGTACAGTTTTCTATACCATCATATGTTGCTGAGGGTTCTGCATTAATAGGGTTATGGCCCATCTGATTATGTTGAAGAATTTTATTGATTGGTCTCTATGATGGGAAACAATACTAATATAAAGAACCACAGTATGTTGTATCCCATTGATAATTGTGCTGTTCAGACTGAACTTGAACAGCCTGTGGATGCCCAAGAAATGGTTTTCAAATTTCTAATATACAAGTTAGGTCAAATTATTGTGGAGCCATACTTAGACTTCACCCAATATGCACAGACCATGCTAAAGCCCCTTCTAATGTTCAAGACCAACATTGTGTCTTGTGGTGGTTTCACTCATGTTAGGGACTCATTTGGAGTGGCATTATGGGGTGTGGACTATGCTTTGCAAATGGTGTACAGTAACTTTTCAGGTGCACTGTTCCATGTCAGTGGTCAGGCTGATTTTTATAACATAGGTGGGGTTGTACTGGATGTAATGGATGTCCAGCTATTTCTGTCTTTTGTAGCTGTTCACTTCTATGCACTTTTCTATGATTACTTTTCTACTGGGCCAAGTCTAATAATCACACGCAGCTCTGTTGACCAACCAGTCTTCTTTTTGCCAATGGATAGTTGGGCCAATTGTGAGCAGCCTCTAGGGGGCAGATGTTCATTCTTGTTTATTATTCTTTGTGGTACTACTCAGCCCTTGTTGTGGCTGAAATAATCAGCTCTTCCAATAAATCCCAAATCATGGATCTCAATGCCAACAATGTGAATGAGTTTACTCCTGCCTATGTGGTCTATGAAGACAGTACTCCTACCAGAGTTGCTCTATTCAATTTTGTAACCGATCCATTGGGTGCAAGCAACTACACAGCTATCATTTCTGTTGAGGACCCTGCACAGGAGCAGGTAAAAGTCAAGTAAGCATGCATTTATTATCTTCAGAGCTGGAACTGACTTTCATTATATATTCCAGGTACCTCTTGGCTGAAAGGGTTAGCTCAAAAGACAAGTGTAGATGGGTTAATCAGGTATACCTGACCTCCTTTGAAGTTCTTTATCCCCTTCATTTATTTGGTGGATTTGTTAGACTTTTGGTGGCCATTTTGCGTCTGACAGCAGGCTGATGGGCCAGTAGGACATCCAAACTGTTGCTTGCAATAATGGATCATGCCCTGTGAAAGTACCTGCTCCTTCTTTTGCACTTGGCTTCCTCAGTGACAAAACTTTGAGTGATTCTGACAACAGGGCCTCCCAAACTTTTTCCACCCCCATTCAAACAAAAACAGAGAACACAGCCACTGTAAATCCCACCATCTTTGCAACTTCAAATGGCCACAAGGGTATTTCCAAGCATGGAGGTACCACTAGCAAAGGGAATAGCCATGACAATGCTGCTTTTGGCCTATCACAAGCTTCCCAAGCATGGTTACATTGGCAAGTTTTGTAGGAATTTATAGGATCCCTCACTGGTATCACCTGAACATAAAGAAAGTAAGGAACTGGCTGGGGATTGAACCCAGGACCCTGTCACTCCAGTGTGGTGCTCTAACCACTTAGCTACCAGTCTTTGGATTTCTAAGTCATTACTGTGCTGTTTCTGCCAAGGTCCAGGTTTTGCCTTGTACTCCAACAAGTTTGGTTGCTAGCAGCCTGTTGGTTAGTTGAGTTTTCATGAGATAGAGGAATGACTTCCATCTTTGCATTATTTACGCTCATGCTCACATTTATGAATATGACTGTCATTCCACATATTCTTCTCGCTGAACATCTTGATACATTCAGTAGGTCATGTAGACCTTACTAAACATGGATTGTTACATTCTTTCCATTAGCATTTTTATAGACAAGTGTAGTGTTATTTCAACCGGCTTGGGGCATTTTTGTAATTTGGAAATAACTTGACACCATATGCTCTGATTGCTTAGTGTTGGGAGAGGACCCATTGACCTTTGAGGTTCTAAATGTATGTAAATATTTTCAGAACTTTATAAAATATTTATATACATTTAGAACCTCAAAAGTTGATGGGTCCTCCCCCAACACTAAACAAATGGAGCACATGGTGTCAAGTTATTTCCAAATTACAAAAATGCCCCAAGCCGGTTGAGACAACACTAGACAAGTGATTTCCAATACACTCCAATATAATATCCATATAGTGGTATAAGTACAAAAAATAGTGTATATCCATGATAACATTCTTATATGTGCATGCAAGGATTCCTAGGCAGAATGAATAACACAGTAGTCCTACAACATATGACATTACATATTAAAAGATCATTACTACAAAGAAAAGTATATTAAACTTGAGAGAATGAGGACAGAAAAGAAAAGAATGTGAATCTGTCATGAATGAAGACTGCTACTGGGCGCAGATGAAGTATGACTGAAACATTGTTCCCAGGACAAGCCATGTACAAATCTGCTAAAATCCACCCTAGTCAAGCACGCACCGATGATAGCAACAGTTTCTTTGCCACATATGCCCTCCTGGCATTGGGGTGGCACTAGTGTTGCCACGGTCATGACCGATGTTTTTTGAAAAAATTGAATTAAAATGTCATTAAAATGGTGAAAACCGTGAGAATATTTATGGAGATAGAACACATCAAAAACCGAGGGGTCACATTTTGGCCTGAAAGAATTGGACCACTATTTCCCACGCTATGGAGCGGTCATGAGTTTGGTCAAAATTTGTGACCAAACTCGTGACTGCTCCATAGCATGGGAAATAGTGGTCCAATTCTTTCAGGCCAAAATGTGACCCCTCGGTTTTTGATGTGTTCTATCTCCATAAATATTCTCACGGTTTTCACCATTTTAATGACATTGTAATTCAATTTTTTCAAAAAACATCGGTCATAACTGTGGCAACACTAGGTGGCACCCACAAAACTAGACTTTGTGGATTGTCTCATGACCCCACTGCATTGCCAGAGCTTATCCACTCATGGGAGAAATGAAGATTGACATCCTGGATGAGCCTTGAACATTCTATGTTCCAAAGCCTGATTGTATTGTTGGTGCCAGAAACAACAAACTTCCCATCGGGTGAGAATGCAATGGAATAGACTGATTTAGTGTGGCCTTCAAGTGGACCTGAGATGACCTCCCCAGTCAGAGCATCCCAGATATGGACTGTTTGATCAGCAGATCTGGACGCTACATAACTTCTGTTGGGCGAAAATGCAACAGTTCTAATTTTATCAGAGTGGCCTTTGAAAGGGCTGGATACCATCTGCTCAGTGTTGATATCCCAGATGCAGATGGTGCCATCCTGAGACAATCTGCATCCCATCTGATGAAAAAGCAACAGTGTTATATCCCGGAACTCTGGACCAAAATTATGCATTATATTCCAGAACTCCACACTGTAGATATGACTCAAATTACCTTTTATGTTTATGGACTGTCATATCTTGGAACTCCAAACTGAAGTTATGACTTGAACAACCAGAATTATGACTCAAACAGCCCAATATGTTTACAGACTAACATTATGCCTATGTACTCTCACACCCATATGATTTATTACAGCGTAGTTCATTTCCGAGATCTGGAGATTAAACTACTCCTACCTGATTATTATTTACCTGACCCGCACTTTATGTTCCCTGGACTATGACTCCACCTGCAGCTACTATTTGTATTACTCGGAACTCCAAAATCCCCAGACTCCGCCACATCCTTAGTTATATAAACTGTAGCACTCCATGTACTTTCGCCAGTTTGAATATCAACCTAGACTTCTGTACTTGCTAAGCTTTGTTCACTCTCCTTATCTTAATCTCTATTACTCGACCTCTTGTAAATTGAGATGAAGGAAGTTAGAGAGGGTGCAGCACATAAGCTGAAGCCACATCATCTCCTTTGACCCCCATACACCAAGTCTGGAACTTCAACCCTATAAAAACTCCATACTCCGACATACTCCAACTGGACTTGGTATATTAGGAACCGGTAGAGATGCGGTTCTTAACAAACCTGTAAGTTACACTCCCCCACACATCCTGATGGACTCCTGATAGTCCTGATGGACTCCTGGTAAACTCCTGATGGACTCCTGATGGACTCCTGGTGGAGTCCACATCCTTGTCATGGAGTCCATCAGGACTATCAGGAGTCCATCAGGAGTCCATCAGGAGTCTATCAGGATTTATAGAGACAGTTTTTTTAAAAAAAAAGAAGGTATAGATGCCCAAGTTCAATTTTAATTATTTGTAAGTCTATATTTAAATTCCTTATTTTTTGTTTATGGATAAAAATTATTATGATTTAATTATAATATACAAAATAACTTAACAATAATATTAACAATGAGTGAGGGAGCAGAGGCGGAAAGAGACATACATACAAACGACAGGGAGGGGGGGGGACATACCATTGTCATGGCACATTACTTGTAGTGGTGGGTAGGGATTAGTAATTAAAAAATGGGCCGAGGGGGAATGTACCGTCGTCGTCGTCGTCGTGGTGCATTACCTGTGGTGAGGGGTGGGGATTAGTAATAAAATGGGGGGAGGGG